AAAAGTAATCCAAGACGTAAAACCACAAATTGGAGGAGGAGCACGGCCGAAAATCGCTTCAGCCGTTTCAAAGCGCTGCGGTTTGTGGTTTTCGGTAGACAATGTATGTTTTTTTTTTTAATTTAAATTATAAAAATCCAAAATGTGAATTAAGAAAGTCGATTACAAGTTTTCTCTTAGAAATTAGCTGCCGTAGAAATAAATTTTAGTTAGTAAATCTATTTTTACAAGTAAAAATTTATTACAAATATAATTTTATAAGATACTCTTAAGGAAAAAAATGTGTCTTAAAATGGATTGGAACACTTGAGGGTCGTCCAGTGTGCTTTAAAATACGATTGTTTTTAAATTTTCTGCACTTCGGTACATTATATCTTTTATACATATGTATATATAATGTATAGCTTGGTAAAAGTATACAATTGGTAGTGCTAGCACAAATTACGGTGTTTTAAAAGGTTTTCATAAAATGGCACTAGGGATATATGTAAGTATACAGATTGTATTAGAATATGCAGTTTTGGGATTTTTAAAATTACTAATATGTGAGATACATATATGTATGTTAAATATTTATTCATTTGTTATATATGTATGTAGGTATATAATATAATAAAATATTTTCCCATTACTACCTATTTGGTACTACTTTTTACTGTGTATGCGACACATTTAATTTTCTATTTGACATGCATACATATATATGTATATATATTTATATAAATATAGCGTTCTTAAAGTATTGTGTGTATGTAGATGGGCTTAATAAAAGTAATAAATATTTTTCTACTGTGCAGTCAGTTCTTTTTCGAATTGCTTTCAGAATTAATATTTTTAAGTGCAGAATGTGCTTATTTATTACAGTTAGAGTTGTGCTTTAGGATATTACTTAATATTCTAATTTTTCTACTAAATTTCCCTCCAATGCATGAAAGCACAACAAATTATCTTCTAAGCTTAACGCATTTTATATTATAGGCATCGAATGATCTAATGCTAATTCGTTCTTTTCCCTACTATTTCTTATACTAAATACTTTTTCTTTAAAAAATGAGATACTAAAAAAAGGAAAATAAATTTTGCAAAAAGTATTAACAAAAAGTAGCGATTATCCCTTGCCGAATATTTTATAAAAAAAATGCGTTTCACAGAGAAGTCGGGAGTTTGTTTTCGTAGAACTTCCACCGAACCAATTTATTTTTAGATTTCTATGAGTTTGAGAATCCACACAATCAATGCCTACCACATGCCTGATGATTTTTTTATATGGAGCTTTTAATTTTCGTCTCAGAAAAACATTGGGAGGGGTGAAAATTCCCTGCCGAGGGGCGACCGCAGTTAGAAAATTTAACTACATTTTTCATTAAAATTAATTTTCTTTAACTTTTGAATGTTGGTTGTATCAGGATTTGAACCCGGGTCTTCCGAATGGCCGTACGCAATACTAACCACTCGGCTACCGCGGCCGAAAAAAGAGGTTAGAGTAATATATTTAAGCAACTCGATAAAAGCGAAACGTGGAACGGCATATTAAGCTCTCTACGTACCACGGAAACAATTTTTTCTCGGCAGAGCCAGAAAAAGAGTGATGATTAATGACAAACTGCAGCTAAAGAAATCGGACTGACTAACTTGCAACGTTAAAATCGGCCATAACAAGTGGGATAGATAACAAAAGAGAAGAGGGCACGAGCTTAATAAACCAGCCGACAAGGCAACGCTCGAAAATTCGATAAAAAGATGCAGGGACTCAGTGAAGGTTTCGAAACGCGAGCATACTCATGTCTAGGGCATACTTTTGCAGCCGACTACATGAAAGTGAAGGCGGATATGGCGGTAAAGAACTGACAACTTTTTTACGGAATATGGTTGGACAAAAGCCTGATGGTCGAAAGCTAAGTATGCTCTGCTCAATCCTTAAACAGGAGGTATCCACAATCTGTGTCAACTACCGTGGGAAATCGCATACAAGGTCCCATCGAAACGGTTTGGAATTTATCAGTGTAACTTTAGACCTGGAAAATCCACCATTATGCAGATATTCACCATACGCATACAGGCACAGCTGGCAAATATTTCGTGGGTCTACAAAACTACTCTCTCAAGGGAAAAATTTACGCAGGAAAGAAAAATTTACGTCGAACGACGAACGATAAAACAACAAAGGAGAAAGAGTGGTACTGGATTTGGTGGAGAAGTATCGTGTTCGGCATTTCAATAACTTTTTTACATCACTCGAATTGGCAATATGATACGCTGTCGCAGGTCTCAATTAAAGACGTACTCCTCTGAAGAAACTGAACGCGAGACCGATTGCGAAGGATTCTAGTTGCACTTGTCTCTTACACTAAGCAGCTAAAGATTTGCTCATCATTACATGGAAAAAAGGAGAACGAAATTACTTGGTTATTTAGAGCTCTCAGCAAGTAGGTTTTGATAGAGAAAAGAGAGTCAGATGAATCAGTGCTGGCGGAATGAGTATTAAAATCGATGCACAGACGTCCGAAAGGCAGTGCATTTCAAAGTTTATTTTGTATGAAAGGGGCCTAAAGAGCTTAGATGATTCGAAAGTTAATCTCGCTAAATAGGAGTGGGCTATTGATATTGCCTCTTATCAATTTAGTTCAGAATAAAACTCCAAGCAACTTTCTCGACTACGGATTGTGAGCAGTATACAGTGCTCCACTGTCTCCACACATTCCTTGCATTTCCGACATTTATTGCCTGCAGTCATGCCTATCTTAAACGCGTGAGACTGCAGAAGGCAATGCCCTGTTAATCAGCAGCCTGGTGTCCGGTCTTTTAACAGATAGTTCAATCTTTGTGAGTTTAGTTGTGCTTGAACATTCTATATTCGATAGATGGAAAACCCTAAAGCAGGCAAAGGAAAATGGGAACAAGTCTTATGGGGCGTATGGGCTAGTAAGAATCACTTTCTTCAAAATACCTGCTGAGATCGGCTTTCACCAGCAAGGCTACAGAGTGAAACCACATGTGTTCAGGCAGTTCTAGCCATTGATCGATATATAAAAAACTAAATCTCTGCGCCTTCAAAACAAAACTTCCACGTGCATGACAAACGGCGTAATAACCGGACGCTATTTCAAGGACAACTATGATAGAAGGGTGAGCTACTTCTCTAATGACCTCTGTCACGACTCAGAGCCATATGCACAATTTTGGTTTGGTAAAGGATGCGCCTCGATGTGGAGATTAAATAAAGTAAAATAGTTCGGAACCATTTGAAAAAGCCTGTATACACAAAGAAGTCCGATGTCTCGATGCCGCATGAGTTAACAAGAAAAAACATGATGTACCGAATTTCCAGCAGCGAATGTATCGCTGATGAATCGTAACAAAATCGACTCCTCTCTGAAACGGATGGTTATTGGTGTTGAAAAATAGTTCACTTCCAGCAACGTAAAATGAATTAAGCGTAGTGAGACGGCCAGGAAGGCTTTGTTTTGTATTAGGTGGGACTGATAAGGAATCATCCACTATGAGCCGCTTCTCTATGACCCAACTCTTAATTCGGTCCAGTACTGCCTGAAGGAAACAATCGCCTAGAAGCGCCCAGTTCTGGCCAATACGCGACCACACACATCGATAGTGACTCGCCAGAAGCAGCAAGACCTTAGTTGCGCGTTTCTTATGCCATCACCTTATAGTCCGGAACTCACACCAAGTGATTTCCATCTGTTTCTGTCTATGACGACTTATTTGGCTAGTGAACAGAATTGGCCTCAAGAAAAGCTGGTGAAAATCGAATGTACCAATTTTTTATCAATATTGACAAGGGTTTCTACGAGAGAGTCATAATGACATTAACTTCAAAATGTGCAAAAAGTAAAACGGTGCATATTATACATAAATCGTAAATTCTTTGTCAAATAAAGCGTTAATTTTTATTTATGCAAAAATAATGGATGACTTGTTACTTGCCCTAATATGTCACAAAATAATAGAAAAAGTGTGCTCTGTAAATGTCAAACGTAAAATATATACATTCAATTGGAGTAATAAAAGGAAACAAAATAATTTTTTAACTTAAAATTTTTATTAAAGAATTAGTGTTAATTTACAAGTAGAAAGATTTACTGTTGTTGAGATAAAATGCCTCATTACCGTCGCTTATACTACAATAATTACATGCCCAACAAGTTTCGATCGTGTACAATTTTCATAACAACAAATTAGAGTTCGCTCAAAATGATGAATGTTTTTTTTATTAAATTTCCTTTTTTTTAATTTTTTATTCATCTTTTTTTTTAATCAACTTTTATTGCTATGCTTGAGTTGTGTTTTAAGCAATAATTACTTTCAATTTGCACATTACGTTTGTCTTGTGTGTTAATAAAGTAATTTGGTTGCTACATCTGTAGGTATATAGGCATGGATGTGTGTGTTTGTACATATGCATGTGTACATAAGTATATCATATTGCATTTAGTGGAGTATAAAGTTACATTGCAAGGCTGTCGGCGCATCATATTATATTTTTTATTTATTTCAATTGTTTTTTTTTTGCTATTTTTTATGTAATTTTTGTTCTAATGACTATACAAGTAGAAGTTGAAGTTGTTGTACATACATACATACATATTTATGTAGTTTCAAATTTCGCCGTTAATTTACAAATTTTACTGTATCATCTTTTCGCTATTTATAAATGCTTAATATTTAAGTACAGACAGACATACTGTGTAATTATGCATAAATACATGTATGTAAGTATGTCGATTGAATACAATTTTATATAAGTTAATATATGCACATACATACATATTTATATAAATAAATGATTAGTACGTTCGCTTAAGAAAGAATGCGCTAGCCGCTTTTCTGTTCATACATGTGTTTGTGTTTGAGAAATATTTAAATTGCATGTTAAAAGAATGTCTGTCAAACATTTACATACATATTTATTTATTTTAGAATTTATTTTTTAAATATATATAATACAGGTTTATTATAATATTTTTTTTTTTTTTTTTTTTTTAAATTTTCTAAATTATTTTTTTTTTATAAATTTTCTTTGACACCTTCTCGCCCATCTGTATTTAGGTATCTTTGCCAAAACCAGAAAAATCGGACGCCTCCGATTCGTCGTCATCATTTTCAACACCCACACAATGTATGCCGGTACGCAGCATCGGTGTACCCTTGCCTTTGCCCAGCACACGCGCTGTTATCATCAATTTCAGCACCTCCTGTGAGTCCTTCGTGTTGACAATGTGCAGTACTTCGCGCAACAACTTCTCTTTGTAGGCGAAAAATTCTATTTTCATTTCGTAGAAATTGCTAACGTCATGCTTGCAACTGGAAAACTCCGCTATGCGGCAATTTAGATTAGGAACTGTTGTAACGGCGGGCATAAATTGACCACCCGATGTTGTGCTATTGGTGTCGAATAATGTAACGGGTAATTTAAGATCGATCATATATCGATGATTGATTTGTAGGAAACCCAAATTGACGACAATCGTATCGCCCGAGCGTTGATACGTGACGCAGGAGTCGGATTCGAAATCATCCTTTAGTGTCGTTGTGTCAAAGTGCACATGATGATCTGAAAGGAGAGAAGAAAACGAGAATAAGAAATACAAATTTGAAGATAAAAAAACATGAATTATTATTTTTGATGAGTTTTAACAAAATACTTTTTTTTTTTAAATTATCGGAATTTTATTAATAAGTTTAGTCGCATGATTAAACGAAACATAAGAATTAAAATTAATTAATTGATTAATCCCGACTAATAAGACGCCATATAGTAGGGGACAGATATGTGGAGCGACTTGTATAGTTTGGTCTTTGTTCGTCAAGAGTAAATTTCACTTTTCACTTGCCTGCTCAGTCCATTAGATTTAAGTGCGTTAGATTTCAAGGCTAACATTGTTGTTGGTGTTAAACTGGTTCCAAGTTAGACAAAGTTATCTAAGACTTCAAGTATGACTGTCAACAGTGTCGAGGGAGCCGCGATATTACGGCATATCTACGTTCACCTTCATACCTATTCGCTTAGTTTTTTTTATCCAGGGGAAAACAGAACCTTCATAATCAGTATAAGTATCATCATACACACGAGAAAAAGTCGCTCTCGTTTAGTATCGAACGGCACGGAGAGGTCCTTTCCGATTCGATCGGAGCTTTGGGCTTACTCAGCGCCACCTTGCTCAGCTGTATAAGTTTTGCGGGGATACTAAGTTGAGAGGCACAGTCTTTTCACGGTTTTATTTTTAGGACTTGGTGCATATTAAATATCTGGTCAATTGTAGATTTTCCCTACTGAAAAGATGCAGTTAATTCATTGGCGGTGGAATTCAAACTTTCACACAAAGAAATTTAATTTTTCTAATATCGGTCGCCTCTTTGTAGTAAATGTCAAGCCTACTGAAAATATTTCTGGCCTGAAATAAAAGCTCATCACAAAAAATTATCGGCTGTTCGGAGGTGGCTTAGAATAAACTATAGATCCCCCCCATTTGTTGGAAATTGCAGTATGATCTCGGCCAAAAATCGCTTCAGCGGTTACAGATATAAATTACTCCAAGGCCTATCAATATAGTCGATCCATTCCTGCCATAAGAAATTATTAATCATCTCTTGATAGCCCAATCCATTCACCGTATTTCTTACTCCAGCCTCATTTTTGAAAAAGTAAGCGTCAATGACGCCACCGAACCATAAACCGCACCAAACAGTTGCACGTTGAGGTTGGAGAGGCTTTTCAACATGCTACAGTTTCGCTTAATGACGTAGCCATCGAGGTGGAAATAGGCTTAGTTTTTACTTCTCAAATGTCAAAAAATGTCTAATGGAAAACTCTAAATTATATATATAATTTTCGCTTTGTAACCGATGAAGCGATTTTTCGGCCGAACTCCTCCTCCGATTTGTGGTTTTGCGTCTTGATGTTTTGTTTCCAACAAATGGAGGAAATTATAGTTTATACTAAGTCGCCTCCGAACGGCTGATGGATTTTCTAACGAGGAGCCTTTATTCATATCCGAAACACACTCGGAGGGTTAGACATTCTCTGCCGAGGGGCGATCGCAATTGGAAAATTTTACTTAATTTTTTAATTAAATTAATTTTCCATAACTTTTGGATGTTGGTGGCACCGGGGTTTTTAACCCGAGCCTTCAGAATGTCAGTGCGCAATGCTAAGCACTCAGCTACCGCGGCCGCCACCCTAAATTAGCATTTAGAAATTCGTTCCCGAAGTGCCCATTGATTACGGAACAGTTGTGTGCTTGGTTCGATAGATGCCATCATACGTTTATATACATCTATATAATTATATATTACATGATAAAGTTTTCGAGTTTCTTTATTCCCATCCTCTTATAAAAATTACACAATATTTACATTTAATTTTTATATCTCGAAAATATGCCAATAGAGAGGGCAACAAGTACTTGGCTCGACAGCTAAACAAGCCTAAACTCTTCTTGGTTGGGGTTCATTTACGATCTCGATAATTTTTTATTTACCTTACAATAAAATTGTTTGTTCAGTTGTTTGCTTTTTATTTATTTTAGGCTTTGTTGGCTTGGCTGTATGCACTTGCTTATTAAATGTTTTTGCTAATCTCTTTTCTTAATAAAATTTGCGAAACTTGCGGAAAAAACACTGAGCAACAAGATTTTAATCAAATTTTATGCATTTGAAATTGCTGTTATAAAAGGATTGGAATGTAAATTTTACGACTGTCACCAAATAATTGAAAAAGCAAGCTTGCAAATAAGCATGCATTAAATTAAAAAAAAAAATAATAATAAAATTAAAAAAAAAAATAAAAATAAAAAATAATAACAAAATAAATTAAAAAAAAAAAAATAAAATAAAATAAAAATAAAAAAATAATAAAATAAATATGTATACCTATTGTCATAAATATATTTTGAATCGCATTTAAAGCCTCAGTGAAATTTTATTTTATTTATAATTTTATGCAAAATTTATTTCAAATATTGGCATTGTTTTCGTCATGAGACCATCTCTCATTTAATTGCCAATTGCAGAAACAAAAGGAAATAATTATTTACATTTCAACTTCTTCTTTATTATGTTTTCATTTTTCATTATATTGGGTTGCCTTAAAAAAAACCGGGATTCTTCATACAGACGCAATGACAAAGGTAAGACACGTCCAGGTCGGCCAAGTGAATTTGATGATGACGCTATCAAGGCTTTAACCGAATCGGATCGTCATGTAACTAAGCGTGAGATTAAAGAGAAGTTAAGTATACCAAAATCAATCGTTCAAAATCATATACGACGCCTGGGGCTGCTAAAAAAAAATTAATATTAGGTGTACAACTTTGCTTTTTTTCCAAAATTAAAAGCTTTATTGCGAAAGAGTGCTTACAGATGTATTATTCAAAGTATTGTCCTTCACTAGCGACAACTTTCTCCCATCTTTCCGGCAATTTTCGGAGTCCTCTTTTGACGCTATCCATGAAGCAATCCATTTTTCCAATTCTTCGAAGGATTGAAAATTTTGATCTGCCAGGCAGTGTGCCATCGAACGGAATAGGTGGAAGTCAGAAGGGGCGACATCTGGGGAATACGGCGGGTGAGGCAAGACTTCCCATTTCAGCGTTTCCAGGTACTTTTTGACCAGAGGATGACTTTGTCAAACCGCTCATGTTATTGTGGCCGCTTTTCTTTTAGCGCGCGACTAAGGCGCATCAGTTGCGTTCGGTAGTGATCTCCTGTGATGGTTTCACCCGGTTTTAAGAGCTTGTAGTAAATATTTGAAGGTTTTTTCTCTTCCACCACCATGTTTGTCTTCGACATCGAAATCAGCATTTTTCAAACGTTGAAACCACTCCCGCAAAGTTGTACATCTGATATTTGTGTACCACATGGATTGAAAGAAATTCATTTAACAAGCCACTTTAACTCTTGTGATCATCTTGAACGCAATATGATCCGTTTTTGTAGCAAATCATAGCTGGAGATCATGGTGGCGATACAAATCATTTCAAAGGTGCCATTGGGAGGGTGTGGTATATTTTTAGCTGCTTCCAAGGAACCAAACGATTAATTCGGATGTCTACTGTGAACAACAGCACAAATTGACTACATTCATTAACGAGAAGCGAGCAGAATTGGTCAATTGTAAAGGTGCCAAATACCACCAGGAGAATGATAGACCGCACACATCTTTGGTAACTCGCAAAAAACCGAGAGAGAGAGCTTGGCCGGGAACCCTGACCTTGCACTGTCAGACTATCATTTGTTTCGCTCTTTGGAGAATTTATTAAATGGTAAAACTCTCTAAAATGATGACGTTATAAAATCGTACTTGATTCAGTTTCTGCTGGTAAAGGCCAGAAGTTCTATGTGCGTGGAAAAATGATGTTGCGGGAAAGATGACGAAAAGTAATCCAACAAAATGGAATTTACATAATTCATCAAAGTTCATTATAAAATTGAAGAAAATATATTTACAATCGTGAATAAAATGTCTTTATACCATTGGAAAACTATTCTTTAGATTTCTCTTTAAAATGACTTTTTTACAGCTGCTTTAATCTCAATGTCGTCTGTAAATCTTCGTTTCAGTAACTACTTTTTTAAATTTGAAAAAAAAAAGGAATGGAAAGAATGTACATAAACTGGGGGAACAAATCTATTCGGTTCATTTTTTGTGTTCAAAAAAATGTATTTTATTAAAAACAAAAAGAAAACAAAGAAATAAAAGTATAAAAATGAAGTTATTTTATGCTTGATTTACAGTTCGGACTGTCACCTTTTCAACGATATATAATATGTATATATTTCTTTCACGAGCGCCACTCTCAAACGATTCGAACGGCATCCAGCGGAATCGGGCACGAACTTATGCACTCATCCAATATTATCCGTCTGCCGTGACCCATCTCTCTGGCCGTTTCTCACACAATACATTAGCTGTAGACGAAAATCTTTCAAAAGTTTTGTCTAGCTTTAGGGGCTCGCAGTACACCATACACTTCCGGTCCCACTAGGACGCTCTTTGTCTTACACCGCTCTTTGTCTTCCACGCTTAAATCACCAATTTCTGCATAATTCATCAGTCGGCACAGATTCACCATGAACATCAATTAAAATAGAAAATCAAATGCTATTTATTCAACACAAATCCGGGCATTTTCGAACAGGCAGAAACTATGTTTTTTCCGGAAATACACACTGATGCACACTAATTATCAATAACGTGAAACTTTTCCAGTAGAATAGGTAATCGGTTTTTAGATCGGCTACAACTTCCAGGTGGACCCATCTTTTGAAAACTTACTGAAATAATTTGTACCCTCAATGCATAAAATTTTCTTGTCAAAATGGCTCTTTCAAATTGTTAAGGAAAACTGTCTAGTAATGTGATTTGAAAACGACTGAATCGATAGGGGTAAAGTTTTTCCTACTATTCACATTTAAAAGAACATTTTTACGAAAGAAAATTCAACTTTATTTCGTGAAGTGAATCGAAGTCGGACCTATTTTAACGAGAGATCATTTTGCGATTCGATTCACTTGAAGTCTAATGGATTGGTAGCTTATCCGTTGGAATAAATT